AACTCTTTAACAAGTGGTGCTGGGAAAACTGGTCAACCACTTGTAAAAGAATGAAACTAGAACACTTTCTAACACCATACACAAAAAATAAACTCAAAATGGATTAAAGATCTAAATGTAAGACCAGAAACTATAAAACTCCTAGAGGAAAACATAGGCAAAACACTCTCTGACATAAATCACAGCAGGATCCTCTATGACCCACCTCCCACAGTAATGGAAATAAAAGCAAAAATAAATAAATGGGACCTAATTAAGCTTAAAAGTTTTTGTACAACGAAGGAAACTATAAGCAAGGTGAAAAGACAGGCTTCAGAATGGGAGAAAATAATAGCAAACGAAGCAACTGACAATTAATCTCAAAAATATACAAGCAGCTCCTGCAGCTCAATTCCAGAAAAATAAACGGTCCAATAAAAAAAATGGGCCAAAAAATTAAACAGACATTTCTCCAAAGACATACAGATGGCTAACAAATAGGAAGCAGGGGAATAATTTAGTCAAAATATTTATAAATATTTTTATTTTATTAATTCATTTATGAAAAATGACTATTTTACCAAAACAAATCTGACAATTGGCACTGTTACATATTTTTGGACATCTGCTTAATGCTTGACTGGATTCTCATATCTGCTTCTGCATTCAATTTGTTGCTACATAAACAAATATAAACATTTTTTTCCTGTGGTGGAAACTAAGGATACAGCTAGAATACAAAAATAAACCCATTCTTGCCTTGAGGAGTTCAGATTAGAGGGAGCTGGAGACCCAGAAACAGAAGGAACCAAAGAAAACTCCAAAAGAAGGCAGAAAGACAAAGTCATAGAGGCAAAGAAACACACAAAGGCCCTTAGAACTATAAACACAGAAAACTTGAAACAAACAATAGTGTGTGTGTGTGTGTGTGTGTGTGTGTGTGTGTGTGTGTGAGGTTGAGGTGGGTCTCAGCTAATAAAGGACTTACAACTGCTATACCTACAAAAAGTTCCTACTTTAAGGTTTGAACAGAGATGTTACTGGAAAGTAGAAAAACTTCCTCCAATAAAAAGTAAAATGTACTTCTCTTTTTACAATGTTTCAAAAAAGCTAGTCCTTCAGACCTTGGAATCCCTATCCTTTGAGGGGATGGACATGTGACATTTTAAACTCTAGGCAAAGCAGGTTCATCACCTCTCCATTCCTGCTCCACGGCTGACTAGGTGCTGGCCAAGAGCTGCTGGGCCTGACAGGTGGGCTGGTGATTCCCGACTCCAGGCCAGTGGTGACAAATTTAAACTATCTTTGGCACTCTTGGCCTCTTTCTCTGGTCATCTTTCATTACTGTACTCCTGCTTTAACCTAGCTTATCAGCTTGTCTTCTCATGAGCAAATTCCCTTCAGAATGCTCCCTCCTCTTTGTTGTTCCACTGGATCATTTCCAGTATCTCTTCTATGACCTAACTCACAATATTGAGAAAACTTTCATGCATTATTTATCATATACAGAGCAGCCTTCTGTATTAACCATATGTTCCTTTAGTAATCAGGTACCCTATTGGTTCTTTTATACATACTGCACGTTTTACATAGGTATTTTCTTTTTTAACATAGGTATTTTCAAGCTATTAATCTTTATTCTGCCATCCAAACACTGAAGCAATGACCCTCTTTCATTTATATTATTTATTGTCCCTGTGCTGGCATCACCAAGGTGATGGACATGAGTTTGTAGGCTCCGGGAGTTGGTGGTGGACAGGGAAGCCTGGCATGCTGCAATCCATGGGGTCGCAAAGAGTCAGACACAACTGAGCAACTGAACTGAGCTGTGCTATGTCATTTCAGTCATGTCCAACTCTTTGCGACCCCATGGACTGTATGTAGCCTGCCAGGCTCCTCTGTCCATGGGATACTCCAGGCAAGAAAACTGGGGTTGGTTGCCATTCTCTCATATTATTGTCCAGATAATAGTTGTAATCTGTGCTCTCGTTTAGTCCTCACAAAACCCTGTAGGGTGTTAATATACCTGGATCTACTTTGCAGACATAGAAACAGAGGTTCACAGAGGATGCATCAGTCATTCAAATCAAACAGCCTTCAAGGGGCAGGGAGGGTGGCGTCCCGGATCTGGGCTCAAGTAATTAGCCTCAATATAGACTATTAAGCAAGGTCCTATGAGGGGCAGAGGTTATGTCGGGACAGAGGTTCTGATGGAAAGGGTTCCTAGGCAGTAAGCTAACTGACAAATAGAATTACACAAGACAACAACATAAGTCCATTTGCAGGCCGAATTTTATTTGTTTAGATTTTTCATGGTTTGGTTTTGTTCAGAAGGCGTGATTTTGCCCTCCAAGCTTTTGTCATTTCACTCACCTTTCCCAACCTGGCCCAGTTCAGCCCCTCCCAGGCTGGATCGAGGTCCGGAGGCTGAAGGCCAAAGGCTGCCCAGGCAGGTGGTGACCTCGGAGGCAGAGCCGCGGCCTCGAGTCGCGCCGCTAACGGCGAAAGATTGACGCGGTTGGACCGCGCCATTCCCCAAGTGATAAGGGGCGTAACCTTGGCGTCGTCCTTAAACATGAGTAAGAATAGGATAGTGAAGGTGACTATCTTCCCCGCCTGCCCTTTCTTTCTCTTTCTGCTGTCCAGCTCGGCCCCCAGCGTCCGTCCCCCGACCTGATTTACTAAAGGAGTCGTGTGGAATAGGGGAAAGTCCCTGATTGCCATTACGGTAACTCGGTTGCTAACTCGAACGGGCTCATTTACGTATAATTTGCACGTTCCAGTGTTTACTGAAGTACGCGGCAAGCCTGTACTCCTCCTCTAGCAGGAGGCCCACGCCCGCCCGCTACACCGCCGCCGTCTGCTCTAAGCCGAGAACCCCTGCCCCTTTATCCAGAAAATTTTACTTCCCTTTCGGCTTTCTTAGCTTCGCAAACGCTGCCTCTTAGGTCCGCTTCCCAAGGTTTGGCCCCTCCTCCCACCCGTAAGCTCCTCCCCTGGCCCTCTCCGCCTCCCCGGCTTCCAACTCTCTCTTCCCGCCCCCTTCTCTATTTCTGAACAGGCATGTTTCAGGCAGCTCACTCGACTCCTTAGATTACTATGGGATCCGTAGGGTCCTGAGCGTCGGCGTAGCAAGAAAGCGTAGCCCACGAAGGGCCTGAATTCAGAAGAAAACTCGAGATCTGCTGAGGAATTTATTTTATTTTTTTTTAATCCTGGTGGTGCGAGGGAGGAAGAGAAGGTTGTGAGGACCGGTCGAACGCGCGGTAGCGCGAAGGCCCCCTCAGGCGGCGCCGAGGGCAGCCCCGCAGCCGGGGCCTGGTGCAGCCGCCGCGGCCGCTGTCAGGGAAGCGCAGGCGGCCAATGGAACCCGGGAGCGGCCGCTGCTGCTGAGGCGGCGGTGTCGGCAGCCCGACCCCGACCGCCCGCACCCCCTCCGCCGGGGTCCCCCGGAGGTAAGCGACTCCTACCCCGTGAGTGCCCCTTGGCCTGTGTGTGAAGGGGTCCCTCTGCCACCCTGTCCAGCACAGCCTCCCCCGCCCCCACACCGGGGTTCGACTACAAAACTGTCCTCCCGGTGGCAGCTGCACCCCGGGTTCCTTCTCCACCCTTTCTTCCCGAGCCTGGGGTCCTCCTCTGCTTTTTGGCTTCCTCTTCTGTTTAGCTCCTCCCTCTGCCGGGGATTCCCCCCTCCCTCACGCTTATCCCTGTTGCCTCCGTCCCGAATTATCTTAAGTCGTCAAGCCTTTCCACATCACGATGCCTTTTATAGGGTCCATCCTTGTTTGTCTTTCCTCATTGTCTGTGCCCCAGCCTCTTTTCCCACGGCCTCCGCCTGTATCCCTTTTCCTGTTTTGCCCCTTCACTCCGATGTCTCTGCATCCCCAGCCCTTGGTTCCCGATCCTCTGTGGCCGTCTCTTCCTCTGCTGCTTCTGATTCCATTACCTCACTGCCACCCACCCACCCAGCTCCTGGCTTCCAAGAATTATCTGTTCCTTCTCCTTAAGGGATCTCAGGCCCTCGCCATCATTCCCGAAGGACTGTTTACATTCTGCTCTGACCTTAATCCTTTCTTCTCTAGAGTACTTTAATGATTCCTGTAACTTTCTTTAGCTTTTCTCGACCCTTCCTCAGATCTCCCAACCTCTGGAGGTTTGTTCCTGTAGAAGAGAGATCTGACGGTGCTCCTTCCCATTCAGGATTTCCAGCTTTGACACCTCCCTCGAGTTTCAGGGGTTTTGCTGATCCTTGTGGTACTGTTTTCCCTGTGGTCCTTATGTGTTCTCTGTCACTCTACCTTTACATACCACTTATTTCAGGATCAGCTAAACCTTAAGCTAAGAAGATGTGTTGGGAGGAGAGGGTGCCTCAGCTGTCACAGGCTTTTCTCTGAACAGAGGGTGTTTCAGAAGGATGGAGCAAGTTTGAAGCAATTCCTATCAGATTACACTTTGCTGGAGGAATGAACAGGCCTGCGTGGAAACTGAATGAGGTTGTGAGAAATTTTGTTTTGGATAATTTAATTTTAGGCTTGTCTTAGAGGGATCACAGAATATAGTGTCTTCCCACCCCTAAGAGGAATCAGTTTACTCTCTGTGGCTTTACTAGAATGGTTTTGGTTGATTCCGTAAGAGCTTAGGCCTGGAGTGGATTTGGTCAGGGGGTGACTGGGAAAAGGAACATGAACCAATGGAAAGAGCTTGTATATTGAGAATCAGGACTCCTGGGTTCAGGATGTGACTTCTTCTCTTGACCTTTAGCGTGACTTTTTTGGGGAAAATAGTCGACTCTATAGGCATAGGTACAGTAATAGGCACTATTTTGGGGGGGGGAATTTGACTTCATTATTTGTTTACAAAACACTGGGTTCCTCAGACACAAGGTGTTTATTAGTAGTGATTCAGTGGTTCTGAGAATTTTCCTTCATTCTGGTCTCTCTCTTGAACCTTTCTAGTCTCCAACCATGGGAGTAAATCAGTTTGAAAGGCAAGCTCCAGGCCTGATGCTTTCATCTGCCTTGATTTGGTTCCCCACTGCTTTAAGTTGCTGACCAGCTTTGCTGTTCCTCTTGTACTTGAGCCATAACTCCAGATTCTGTAGGCGTAAAGTACGTTTGTGGGAAAATCCTTTGAGGAAACTGGCTGGAAAAGAACACTTGGAGTGAGTTGGGACTTAGGAAGCTAGTTGTTCACCTGTATGCCGTGTCTCACTCTTGGCCTCCAATAGTGAAAAGGACACGTGAAGTTCCCTTCATCTTCCTACTCTAAGCCTGTTTGAAAGTAATCATGCTGCCTTCTCCTGGTTCCCCCTTTGTCTGCCTCCTCATTAGCCAGCCAGTGTCCAGTCTCATAATTCCCCTTTTTAGGAGCAGCTTTGCTCCTTGGGAGCACCCCTAAAGAGAAGTCGTATTCCTTTTAGTTTCTCTGCTTCCTTCTCAGAGCTGGGTCCATACTACGTGAGAACACATTTGCTGAACACTATCCAAAGCAGCAAATTGAAATTGTCTAATTTGGGGAAGAAGCTTGAGAGGGACCTTTCAGTAAGTGGCATAGACCGGAGAGAGCCTACTTCAAGTGCATTTGGAGCTTCTGGTGGGGAGGAACAGTTCAGAGAGGAGTGTACAGGTTGCTTTCTTTGCCATCTGTTTGTTTCAGCAGGGGCTCCCAGAGCTGGCTTGGGCTGTCTGGCTGGTATCTGCTTATACCAGCTCTAGAGCCCTGAACAGATTTCTCCACCTCAATCAATATTGACTTAACTTCCCTGAGACCCCTGCTCTCCCTACCCTATCCCCTGATGCCACTATGCCTTGGGGCCTTGGTTAAGCATTTACCTGGTTCCTGGTAGGGCTTGAGCCTGTTTGAAGGCTTGGTTCTGTGTTTCTACAAGGGAAAGGTTGTACTCAAACTCCATTTTTACCATTGAGGTTAAGAGGGAAGGATGAGCTAAGACCTCCTTAAAGAAAGGTTTGAGTTAGACTTTGAGACATGAGGAGGGAGTCCTCAGGAGCAGAACAGGCAGCTTAGGATGATTAGGAGTCCCTTTTGAAGAGCAGCTTCTTTTTAAAAATTATTATTAAAGACATGTGAAAAAAAAAGACATATGTGCATTTGGTAACAAATCCAATGATGCTTAAAGGATTTATGATGAAAATCAATAGTCCCTTTCCCTTCATCCCTACTCCTAGAGATAACCTCTTAGTTATTTTAGTGTTTCTCTCTGATAGTTATTGCCAGAGCTTTAGATAAAATTTTTGTTCCTCTGTTTTTTTGGTTTATTAATCATTACAAAAGAAGACTGTTTTAGAAGATTCATACCTCTTGTTTATATGTTGTTTTTGTTTCTACTGGAAGCCTGAATACCTTTAAATGACATTTGAACTTTCTTTCCGTTAACTTTTTAAAAAAAATTATTTATTTTTAATTAGAGGATAATTGCTTTACAATGTTGTGTTGGTTTCTGCCATACATCAGTGTGAATCAGCCATAGGTATACGTATGTCCTCTCCCTCCCACTGCCCACCCTATCCGTTAACTTTTTTTTTTTTCCATTTATTTTTATTAGTTGGAGGCTAATTACTTTACAGCATTGCAGTGGTTTTTGTCATACATTGAAATGAATTAGCCATGGATTTACATGTATTCCCCATCCCGGTCCCCCCTCCCACCTCCCTCTCCACCCGATCCCTCTGGGTCTTCCCAGTGCACCAGGCCCGAGCACTTGTCTCATGCATCCAACCTGGGCTGGTGATATGTTTCACCCTAGATAATATACATGTTTCGATGCTGTTCTCTTGAAACATCCCACCCTCGCCTTCTCCCCCATTAACTTTTAATAGCCTCTCTTAACTACCTACCTTGTAGGATGAACATATTGGCTCCACTACTCTTTTTTCCAGTTCACATGATCCATCTCTCTATCTCAAAGGGATCTTTTTTTTTTTTTCCAGAGGGATCTTTTAAAAGGCAATGGAAAATTGAGCTCACCTTTCTGTTTGGAGGTAGAGCAATAAGATGATCTCTTAAGGGTCATTCTATGAAAATACAGGAACATATTAAAAACATGAGGATTGATCTGAAGCAGTCATATTTATCTAGTTCTTGGAAAAGGATTTCAAGAAGGCGATGGTGATTAACTATGTGAGGAAATTGATTTGGGGCTCTTTATATCTTGTCCTAGCAGAGACCAATCCACCAAGTCATTTCATGGAGGCCAGTGGAGAGTTGCTTGTCTAGAATCTTTTGAGGTGATGAGAAGCGAGAAGCCAGGTTAAGTGATAGCGTTCCCTACCCCCAAAATCTGTAGACTTCGATGCTTAGTCACAGAAGACATGCACATGTCCCTCTCTGGCCTCCTTCACTGCTGTTCTCTGCTCTGCCCAGAAGAACCCTCTGATGCTCACCTGAGGAGTCCCTTCTTTGCCCAGACATAAGGTGTGGAGCCAGTTGGTTGTCAACATTCCCTGTCCCCCCCCCATACACACACCCCTTTCCAAGAATCTAGCTGCTAGTCTGGGTCATGGTAGACCTCTTCAGTTCCCTTCTAGCCTCACCGGAAGGCCATTTTAGGCTCCCAATGTGAAATGTGGAGCCTCAGTTGTCTGTGTCCTTGAGAGCCATAGGAGTCTTTTGATATTAAAGGTTTGAATTTTCTTCTCTGGGGTTTTTCTTGTTCTCTGACTTAAAAGGGGAAAGGTGGTGAATACAGAAACCATTTCTTCCTTTTTTGCTTTCTAGTCCTTTCACTCTCTTTAGAATAGTTACTTATCAAAGCTATATTTTCTTTGTATTTCAGAATGAATTAACTGATGTTAAAGACCGTATCTGGAGTTAGGTTTTGAAAAATCCATTTCTTATTTCTTATTGCCTAAATTGCCAAAACAACCTACATTTCCTTCAGCTGCTCCTTTTCCCCATGACTTGCTTCAGAGGCAGGCAGTTCCTGAGACTCAGGAAGGCCAGGAGGGAGGCCAGGCTCCAGTCTGGTGGTTTCCAGTGGCAGAGCTGCCCTCTCCAGGAGAGGAGTTTGCTTTTCCTCCTCCTCTTGACATTTTCTGTTCCCTGGGGAGTAAAGGCTGTCAAATGGGGGACCTGTTCTGTTCAGTGGGTAAGTCCCCTAAATACTGTGATGTGGGATTTCTAGCTCAACCCTGGGATAAAAGAAATGATGGCCTCCTTGGTTTCCTCCCTGGTGCCAGTAATAATCCCATTTGTGCCCATTTCCAGATCATCTGCATTTCCTAGTAGAATCTGAAATGCTGTATGTGGGAGAATGTCTGAACTTCTTTTCCCTTGAAAGTTTTGAAAAGTGGTCTTTTAGAAGCTTTTGGTGTCTTGAAAATCTCTGGAGTAGAGGAAAAGAGAATCATGTGCCAAGCATAGAGAGATTGAAAAACAAGAATTGGTTATATAGAGTGGTTTGAGTCTGTTGTGTGAGTGTCTAAGCAGACCTAAAGGGTAGTAGTGGTCCCGGTTGACTTTGAGGAATTTGAGAACCCTCTGGTGCAGTGTGCCACAGAGTTGCAGCAGGTACTGATTCACACTTCCCTCTTATTATTCCTGTGCAGCCCACAATTGCCAGTAGAGACAGATCCACATGGGCAGAGGCAGCCATGCTGGTTCTACTGCTCAGAGGTCACTGCCTCATTTGGGAAAGAGCATGGTGAAAGAGTTGCCACCTTCTTGCCGATTCCAGTCTCAGACTGCATCAGAGAAATTTAATTGGGGGATGAACGCCTTGCTTGACAGAATTAGGAGAAAAATAAACTGAAGTCACCTTTTTTTTTTCTTTTTAATACTCCTTGAGAACTTAAGAGTTCTCCATCCATCTTCCTGCACAATGTTAGTGGTTGACTGGTGGGGGAGAGCAAGCTGGACTATATATGTTGGACAGACGAAGGTAACCTTGAGTCTTAACATTTCAGAGGTTCAAGAGGCACTGAAAGAGTAGCAGTGGAAACTTGGGCTTTGCAGAGTGACTAGAGAATCTGTATCTTGAGGCTCCTTCCACTTACTTGGGTTCACTAGGGTCAAACCCCGCTTATCAGGTTCATTGATGTCACTATCACTTGGAAATTACCTGCCTTCCAGCTCCACAACTGCTTCTGCCTTCCTCTTGCTCATGCTCTTGAGTGTGACGTGCCTCACGGTATTTGTATTTTTGTGACGAGGCCTCTTGAGTCCTTTGCTACCTACAGCCAGACTCTGGAGCTGCATCAATCTGACATTAATATAGTGTACCCCTCCCAGTCCTTGCTTTGAGATTTCCTCCTGTTCTGCACTGATTCTCCTGATCTGGATTTGGTGAGTCTCTGAAGAATCATTCTAGGAAGGCAGTGGCTTTTATCAACAGTGTTCTCTCACTGACTTTCCTTCTGATCCCTTGGTTGTATGTTTTCTTCTCCTTTGGACATTCTGGACAGGTGGCCTCCAGCCTGATATCTTTTTGTCTTCTCACAGCCCCTCCAGTTCTTGGAGTGTTTGTATGAGAATGGGGAATAGTAGGGTTGGGATAGGAGAGGACTCACATAAATGTTTTGGAAGAGTCTTGAGTAACAGTATTAAATAAGTCCCTCCCCTTATAAACAACATAGGTGTGTGCACGTGAATTGTTTATTAACCTTTAAGGTGATAAGGATTTAACTAGCATTTGTAGCGGAGAAGGCAATGGCACCCCACTCCAGTGCTCTTTCCTGGAAAATCCCATGCGCAGAGGAACCTGGTAGGCTGCAATCCATGGGGTCGCTAACAGTCAGACACGACTGAGCAACTTCACTTTCACTTTTCACTTTCATGCATTGGAGAAGAAAATGGCAACCCACTCCAGTGTTCTTGCTTGGAGAATCCCAGGGATGGGGGAGCGTGGTGGGCTGCCATCTATGGGGTTACACAGAGTCAGACACGACTGAAGTGACTTAGCAGCAGCAGCAGCATTTGTAGAGTACTACTGTGTGCCTATACTAGACTTCCTTGTAGTTCAAACAGTAAAGAATCTGCCTGCAAGGCAGGAGACCAGGGTTCAATCCCTGGGTTGGGAAGTTCCTCTGAAGAAGGGAATGGAAAACCACTCCACTATTCTTGCCTGGAGAATTCCATGGACGGAGAAGCCTGGTGGGCTACAGTCCATAGGGTCGCAAAGAGTCGGACACGAGTGAGTGACTCACACACACACACACTGTGTGCCAGGGACAGACACGTTAGTTCCTTTTACACACATAAAGTTACTCATTCTGTTAATACACAGTGACATTAAGAAATAGACATGTTTCCTCCCATTTTACAGTTGAGGAAACAAATAGAAGATAGGTGGTTTGCACAAGTTTACACACATACGGGCAGAGCCAGGATTTTGAATCTCAGCCTGTTTGACTCCCAAGTTCAGGAGTTTTTCCACCATCTTTCAGCTGCCACAGCACTGGAGGAAGGGAGCACGATGTCATGTGCTCAGACAAGCAGAGAAATGGCCCACCTCAGCAGGGTTGACGATGGTTGTTTCTGAGCTGTTTTCTTCGTGGTAAAGCCTGGTGTGGTGTTTGCTGGCCATTATTTTTTGGGTGCTTTGAGTCTAAAAGAGAAGGTAAGAAAAGTATCTGTAACTGGAAAAACACATCAAGATTTTAGCGCTAAATAAAGGTGAGATGTTCAGGACCTGTGTATGGAGTGTTATATGAGGAAGAAAATACAGTTTAAAGAGGCAAAAATAAAGGTTACTGGCAAGGCATTTGAGGGAGATATGGGAAGAGCATGAAGGGAGAAAAGCATTTGAAGAGTTGGGCACAAGAGAATTAAGACCAGAATTGCTTCCCAGTCTACCTGAAGAATTTGTAAACCTATATAAACGTAACACACATAAAGCAACATTTTGCAAATACAAGTTAAGAACAGAGGCTAAGCTGAGTAACTGAGCCCAGAAGGAGTGAAGAGTAATGTAAGGGTGGGAGGTGGAAGGAGGGAGTCAGGGTAAGCTTCCTGGGAGGGGATGACTTTTCATCTGAGTTTGAATGAGTCCCGGAAGACATAAAGAGAGGGGATGCCTGGGAAGGTTTCCTGGTGAGGGCCAGACCTGAGGTCAGCACCACTAATGGTGTGTGTATGTGTGTCTCCCTTTCTCTTCCTTTCTCCCTCCTTCCTTCTCCAGCTTGGAAGCTCAAAGTCTGGCTGTGGCCATGGGAGACACGGTAGTGGAGCCTACCCCCCTGAAGCCAACTTCTGAGCCCGCTCCTGGCCCACCAGGGAATAATGGGGGCTCCTTGCTAAGTGTCATCACGGAGGGGGTCGGGGAGCTCTCGGTGATTGACCCTGAGGTGGCCCAGAAGGCCTGCCAGGAGGTGCTGGAGAAAGTCAAGCTCTTGCATGGAGGTGTGGCCATCTCTAGCAGAGGCACCCCACTGGAGCTGGTCAATGGGGATGGTGTGGACAGCGAGATCCGTTGCCTGGACGACCCACCTGCCCAGATAAGGGAGGAGGAAGATGAGATGGGGGCCACAGTGGCCTCAGGCACAGCCAAGGGAGCAAGAAGGCGGCGGCAGAACAACTCGGCCAAACAGTCTTGGCTGCTGAGGCTGTTTGAGTCGAAACTGTTTGACATCTCTATGGCCATTTCATACCTGTATAACTCCAAGGAGCCTGGGGTGCAGGCCTACATCGGCAACCGGCTCTTCTGCTTTCGTAATGAGGATGTGGACTTCTATCTGCCCCAGTTGCTTAACATGTACATTCACATGGATGAGGACGTGGGTGATGCCATCAAGCCCTACATAGTCCACCGCTGCCGCCAGAGCATTAACTTTTCCCTCCAGTGTGCTCTGTTGCTGGGGGCCTACTCTTCAGACATGCACATTTCCACTCAGCGACACTCCCGTGGGACCAAGCTGCGGAAGCTGATCCTCTCAGATGAGCTGAAGCCCGCTCACCGAAAGAGGGAGCTGCCCTCCTTGAGCCCAGCCCCCGACACAGGGCTGTCTCCCTCTAAAAGGACTCACCAGCGCTCTAAGTCAGATGCCACTGCCAGCATAAGTCTCAGCAGCAACCTGAAACGAACAGCCAGCAACCCTAAAGTGGAGAATGAGGATGAGGTAAAATTCCCGGGCGGGACGGAGGGGCAAGCCAGGTGGCTTGGAGACAGGATGTCTGGTTCAGGGTTACTCTGTCCGTTTCACTCCTTCCCTGTGTTTCATTTCACCAGTTAAAGATGGAATGTTAGAATGGAAAAAGACTTAGGATTCATGTATTCCAGCTGCCTCATTTTACAAAGAACTCAGAGACCCAGGGAGATAAAGTGACTTGCCTCAGGTCGTATAGCTTAATAGCAAGGCTGATACTCCTGACTGTCCAGTGGGTTTTCACTAAATTGCACTGCCATCTTACTTCCTGAGAACTGTGGCAGAGACCCCCACCAGCCTGACTTGAACCCTGGGATATCTACCAGGACCTCTGAGAGCAACAACCATGGCGGGGAGGAAGAGGGGTTCTGTGTGTGAATTCTGTGCGTGCTGGGGGAGGGGAGATGATAAGTAGAACCTCAGCTTCATTCTCCTGCCCACTGCTCTTCATAATCCCTCTCCCTCACTCCCTGGAGATCCTGCTCCTTGTTGACATAAGGGTAAGGTTCATTCCCTATCACTGAGGCATCTGCAGAATGCCTTCCCACCTGCCTTTCCTTGGGGGAAGGGCTGTCTTGCTTGTCTCTTTCCCATGTCATTTGGGAGAAGCACAGAAAGAAGAGGGAAGCAGTCCTGATACGCAGTAAATCTTGGGCACACCCAGTGTCGAGTCAAGGGCCTGAAGCCTAAGAAGAGAAAGCAGCAGTTGGGGTGTCCCATTTAGGATAGGATGGGGGTGAGATAAGCCATCAGTTGGTCATATTGTTCAGTCTCTTAAGTCGTGTCCGACTCTTGGCGACCCCATGGATGCAGCACTCCAGGCTTCATACACACCAGTTATTCCACATCTGGACAGAGAGCAGGGAAACTTGCCCAGTGAACAACCAAGTATTAGTGACTTACCTAATGTCCCAGCCAGAAAATGGTCCCCCGGTCCCTACCCCACCCCTGACTCCCCACCAGCCAGGCTCCCATCTGGCTGCCAGCCTAGTCTTAGGGAAGAAGGGAGAAAAGACCAAGGAATTTGCACTTGCTGGAGAATGTGTATAGCCACGGTGCTGGCATCTGCCTCTCTGGGGCCCACAACCCACCCACATTTTTGATACAATGAGACTTCTTTCAAGTAAAGAGGTCAGAGTGACTAGGGCAGGGAAAGGCAGGAGGGAAAGAGTACAGAGCCTGGTCTGTCTGGAAATTTGGTATTTTATTATGATAATAGTGAAACTAAAGGAGCTAACATTTATTGAGCACTTAGTACGTGCCAAGCATCATGTCAAATATTTTACATTTAATCCTCACAACAACCTTAAGAGACAGGTATTATTTTACCACTGAGGAAACAGGTTAGATGATTTGGCTCAAGTTTCTCAACCGGTGTCTGTCACACCCAGCCTCAGCTGTCAGAGTCCATTCGGGGAAGAACAGCCTAGGCCTTAGCCATGAAGGTTTCCACGCCCAGGCACAGGCAGGGCCCAGCTGTTCTCAGAACCAGAATGGACCATTTTCGTTTCCGGTTGAGCTTGGCAGGAAGCCCAGGGTCATGAAGGGAGGCTGTTGCAGAGCAAGAAGAATCATCCAGAGCTGGTGGGACTAAGGTCATGAAGGGTTTGGGAGCTCCTCTGGGGGTCAGGCCTGTAGTGATACGAGTGTGAGCAGCTGTAAGTGAATCCCATGGTGCCTCGTGTCAGGCGCCTCGTGGCTTTACTCCACAGGCATTTTGTAGTACTCATCTTCGGACCGGAAAAACTGAGGCCTCGAGCTTTTTGTACTCTGTGTTGATCCTTAATCCCTCTTGCAGCTCACTCCTGCCTAGGATGGGATTTGGGGTGATGCTGAGACACAGGTATTCTGTGAATGCTTAAATTCTCTAGATTGGCTTCTCCAGCTGCCATTCTTCCCAACTTGGCTCCTTTTTCTTGGGTCAGTAGATCCAGGGACGAAAGGAGATGCCACTCCCGGGTTATATGGTGCTAGCAGAGAGAGACACCAGAATCCACTGTGGCTCCCCAGGAGATGTGAGAGTCACCAGGAGTCTAAGCATTGAAGTCTTCAGCACAGAGGTCTCTCCAAACCCCTGGACTTTTCGGAGATACATCTTCCAAGGCCTTTGTCTCCCAAGTATTGGCTTGCTTTCTTCTAATCCTCCATCTCCCCTGTCATGCAGCATTTATTCACTCAGCCTATAGTTCTTGAGCTTGTCCACTGCAGAGCCCTGTGCTGGAGGCAGTGGGGGCTGTAGGATAAAATGCTGTCCTTTCCTCCAGGAACTTACAAGGTAATAGGGAGATCCCATTACCTGGGAAGTTGTTTGGTTTGTAACTCTTCAGTTTTATATCCTGAAACTTAACTGAATTTATTAGTTCTAGCGGTTTTCTGGTGGAGTTCATGACTCTCCTGAAATGTGGATTCCTGCATGTGAGGAGGAAGTATATAGCTCACTAAAACAAAGCACATAGTTATCTAAGGTCTGAACAGAGACTCTCAAAGGAGAGATACCCTGCTCGCCCTCTCTGGCTTTCCCCGTGGGTTCTGAGTTTAATACTGTGCTCCCATCACCAGCAGGGAACCTCTGGAAGGTGAAGGGAGGCCTCCAAGAAGAATCCCAGGTGCTTGTGCAGTCTCTTCCTGCCTAGGGTCTCCCAGCAGAGTTCTTCTCTGCCCACATCTCACAGAGGGTTCTATTTTTTAATGAGGAATCCTTTACACTCTCCCTTACAATTAAAGGGCTCCAGCATTGATTTCTCCCATCTCCTACTATTCCTCCTCCCATTCCCCCACCCCAGCCCAACCCTTCAGAGCAGTTTTTCTCAACTTAGGGAACTCTTAAGTTGTTCAGGTAGTTTTCCTTTCCAGTTGTAACCACATGGTAATTATTTTGGCCTAGGGTTGTGGCTCAAGGAACAGTGATTTAGATCCTACCCCCACCCCACACGATTCCCCACTTAATGTAGATCAGCCTTGTCTTCTCAGGGCTATAACCTTTGTACAGAGAAATGTGCTTATCACACTGGAAGCCCAGGAGACCTTCCAGCCCAATAGACTGTGATGTCAGCTTCTTGGCCTCAAGCTTCTCTCCTTAGAGCTGACTCAGTTTGAGTGACTCAAGTCTCCAGAGGAGGAGAGAGGAGCAGTTCATGATGTATCTCCCTGCCCCCAAGGCTGTTAATGAGTCAGACAGGACTGTCCTGTCTGTAGAAGCAGCTGGAGCGGGGCTTGTGGAACCCATATCCTGCCTACTATTCCTTCCCCACCCAGCTCCTGGGTAGAGATTGAGCCAGCAGGTCATCATCAACTTGAGCGCCCTTGCTGCCTTGGTGCTCCCTCCCACCACCTCTCCCCCCCAAGCAGAAGAGCTGTGGCCTTGGGGGAGTGTTCAGCCTGAATTCTCCCTCAAAGTGCCCCTCTCCCCAGATTCTTTAAAGACAGACCCGACAAGAGGGCCTCCAGCTGGAATAGAATGTAAACTGTGGAATCGAATTAAGTAGATGCTTGAAATTCTGATTGCAGAGCAGCTCAGTGTCCACTGCCCTCCTGCCCTGGGAGCCGCTCCGATTTTGTCGCTGAGTCCAGGACCTCCCTCCCTGTGCACTGTGCGCCCGTGTTGCCCGTTCTCCCTGTCCCGGGAGACCTTGGTGGACGGAAGCCAGGGCGGGCCTGTGCACGAGTGCCGCAGAGCCGCTCAGTGACTCTCGGCACCAGTCCTTGTCCCTGTTTTGCTTGCAGACGCTAGTAAGACATAGGAATGGGGTGAGTTTTAGCTAACTCCCCTGAACTGGGGCTAGGACAGCCACTCTGGAGCAGCCAGCCACTCAGCTTTCTCAGATGGATTCAGTTGGGACCTGGCTTCTCAACTTACATCCAAAAATCGTAGTTTATTGAGGGTCACATGAGACACCCTGATCGGAAGCCTACAGAAGTGTGGTAGGTAAGAGAGTTACTCGTCCTTAACTCCCAGCAGCACCTAGCGCAGATGTTTCATGCTCCTGGGTCCCTGCTAGCCCTCATCACATGATTCAAGAGTGGGATTGGGCTTTCCAGGGTGGTAATGAGGCTGATTAGAGAGGAGATGTACCTGACACTAAAAGGTTAGCTCTTCTGCTTCCTCCTCGATGTCTCCAAGAAGCTGGAGGAACATGGGATTTCTGCTATGGGGGCCATGCAGCTTGTTAAATTCAGTCTCAATGGTGGTCTCCATGGAGAAGGGGTTGGTTGAGAGCATGTGAGTGAATAAAGAGGAATCAGGAAACCTTTGTAACACTGAGGTACCTGCCTCCTTCAGGGATGCAGCTGTAGGATTTTTTTTCCTAGAAGGAAGACTTGTACAGGCAAGAACAGAAGGGCAGGAAATGAAAAGCAGAGGCCACTACCTCTTCAGCCCTTCTGACCTCAAGGTCTGCTCTAGCCTTCTAGCATCTTCCACAATGTCAAGAATCTGGGCAAGTGGCATTTGTGGGCTGACTTTCTTTCATTAAAGCAGAAAGGTAGAGCTACATAAGAGAAACAGTTATGATCCAGGTTGGAGCTAAATTCTTTGCCTTTGTCTCTCTCCCTTCCCTCCCTGCCCCCTTCTTCTCCCCTTGCCCTCCGGCCCTTTCCCAGGAGCTCTCCTCCAGCACCGAGAGTATTGATAATTCATTCAGTTCCGTAAGTGGGGCCAGGCTGGGACTGGGTGGCAGGCTCCCCCCATGGCCGCATTTCCTCTCCGTCCCCAGGTCTTCTGAGTCCTCAGGTCAAGGCTGGAGTTAAAAGTTGCCTTTTCTTCCTGGGACTTCAGCCCCTCACTTCCAGGCCTCCGAGACCTGGAGGAGCCCCTGGTCTTCGTTGCCAGTGCTCTGAGCCCAGGCTGAGGAGGCTCTGTTGATCCTTCTCCCAGGACAGCTGGGATGCAGTGCAACTCAGCCTCCAGCTCCTGGTTCTCCAGAGCAAACAGCTGGGAGAGAGGTAGAATTTACCCCTGGATTGAAGCCAAGAACTGCTTGGCAGAAACCCCCAGGATCCTCTTTCTCCCACCCAGCACCCTTTCCCTGTGGCTTCTGCCATCAGACCATCAAATGCTTGTTCAGTGTCTTCCAAATGCCAGGCCCCATGTTGGGTGAGCTGACTGGAAAAGCAAACAGGATTTGGCCTGAAGGAAAGTTGTATGTCCCCACAGCCGGTGTCCTTTTTAACTTCACATTTCTTCCAGGTCCGAGTTCTTCCCTTTCCCAGCTCCCTGCCCGGGATGTTTCTTAACCCTCATTCTCCTTTCTTGTTCCCCCTGGACTAACCCCTGACCCTCCGGTCCCACAGGGTCTTGGACCTTGTTGCTGGGCAGAGACGTGAGAGGAAATGCAGGACCCTCTGGGAGTTTGGATGGTTCCTTTACGTTTTACTTTTGATTTGTCTTCGCAATCAGTTTTCTCTGTGCTGTGCTGATCCCCTTTGAGTCGTGACTCCTCTCTCCTCCCATGTGGCAGCGCCTCTCTCTCGAGGCCTGGGGTTGTATTTCCAACATGCTGACGTAACTTAGGGGCTCCCAGCCCGAAGGCTGAATTGAGGATGGGAAGGAATTGTGTTGTTTCTAATCTGAAATAACTATGGATTGGTTGGGGTGGAGGGTCTTTGGGACCATGACCGTTTGCCACCTGAGTGGATGGATTAGGGGATCAGGATGAATGAAGGAGTGAGTCTCCAGATTTCCTCTTCCTTTCTTTCTCTCTCTCTCTGAAGCCCCTAGGATATTTCCAGGGACCAGAGGTCTAGTTCTCTTGTCTTCCTGTCTATCTCGTTTTCAACCCTGCCTCCCAAAGCATTCCTGACTGATTCAGACACCCCGGTCTTCATTACTGTGTGGGGCCCTGGGCCAGCCCCCTGGGGGTAGAGCCTGAGAGCTGAGCTGTCCCTCGGAACCCTGGCTCTGAGCACATGCAGAGGTGGGCCTGGTACTGCCCAGCTTTCCAAAGAAGCTCTTTATGGCAATGTGAGGGAGTGAGGGTAGAAATTCTCACTCGGGAAACTGAGCATGACATACAAAGAGGGAGAGAAGCCTGGTGAGTGGGATACCCCTGTTTCTGTTTGAGGAAGAGGTATTGTTCTTGCCTAGCTGAGGAGAGATGGGCCGGGGAGCTGGGTGGCCAGCTTGATAAAATGCCCCTTAAGGTGGAAGGACTTAAGCTGGCAATGGAGCCCTTCTCCATGTCTAGCTGAGCCCATCTCTTTCCCCATCCCCGCCTGACTCCCGACACTGACTTTGCCCTTTCTGAGAATGAAGTACCCAGCGTGAGCAGCCAGGCCTGCAGGAGGGAGCGAATGTGGATGGCCTGGTCCCTGAGAGGTGGGGGAAGAGGATCCAAGGAGGAATCACTGAAAGACCGGCCTTCAGGGCTGGCACCAGGGCCTGAAAGGAGCTGTCTTCTCCACCCACCTCCACACACCTCCCAACCTCCCATCTGCTTTTTCTTTCCCCGTTGATTGTTGCCTCATTAGTGCAAAGTCTGCTCATCCTGCCTCATACCCTGCATGCGCACTGACCCTCGGTGAGAGATTGTGGGGTGGACAGGTGGAATGCCGTGGAAGCAGCAAAAGTCACTTAAATGGACTGAATCCTCCTTTGAAAGGGGAGGTACTGATTCACAGCTCCCCTCTGGAGCTCTGTGGGCCTGGGATCACACACAAGACCCAGCCCAGGGATCCTGGTGGGGAGAGGGATGGCCTCGTTCCTGAGATGGGTGAAGCGCTTCAGGTGTGAGCAGCATTTCCGCCTGGGCCCTTGGCTGACCTCTCTGGATGTCACCCTCCCATCCATCTGGGAGCCTTGGGACAGTTCCTCGGGAACTCAAGTCCAGGAGCAGTGGGGTGCACCGAGTGACCCAGAATCACATACCCCCTTCCCGTCAAGAAGCAGCCTGTGAGGAAGGGCAGTGCTGGCTTTTCTGCCTGTTCCCAGTTCAGGTTGATGGCCATGGGTGGGATCTCCTGACAGGGCCGGAAGATATCCCTTCCCTGGAGTACTGGAGACACTGGGACCCCTGGCCTGCGGGTCTAGTCGTGACTAAGTGGGAGGACCACTTTTTTCTATGGTTTCTTCACCATCTTTTACTTCACCCCACCCCCCTGTAGCCCGTCAGACTGGCTCCTGAGCGAGAATTCATCAAGTCCCTGATGGCGATTGGCAAGCGGCTGGCCACGCTCCCCACCAAGGAGCAGAAGACACAGCGGCTGATCTCAGAGCTCTCCCTGCTCAACCACAAGCTCCCCGCCCGAGTCTGGCTGCCCACTGCCGGCTTTGACCACCACGTGGTCCGCGTGCCCCACACCCAGGCTGTCGTCCTCAACTCTAAGGACAAGGTAGGTGGGCTCTGGCCTCAACCAGACCCCTCAGCTGACTCCCCTCCTGTGCTTGTGTGTGGGCCCAGGGAAGCCCCCGACACCCTGAGCTCCTCCATAGCTCATGCGCACCTGTCAGCCTTGACTTCACCTCCGCCCTGCTGTGACTCTGAGGGCCCGCCTGTGCCTCTTCTTGGGCTTTGTTTTTCTGGACCAGAGCAGCCTGATGTGTTCAGCTGGCCTCCTGCTCTGCCTCAGAGGAGAGCCACTCTCCTCACCTCCTTCTAGTCCTTCTGGGAGCTCTTCTCCAGCCCTTCCATAACTCTTAGGCTTTCCCGGCACAGCAACAATAAAAGTAGAGAAATGTTTGTTTCTAAGACCTTTTCTGATCACAGTGGGCAGGGAGAAGGAGAGAAAGGTGCCCAGTTCACGTTGGAGAGAATTAGCTCAAGCAGTATGCTGGTTGAAATGAGTACTAATGGTTCAGATGTTTGTTTGTTTGTTTTTTTCCAGAAGACGTATTGAAGATTAGAATCCTGTTTGACACAGTGCCCAGCTTTTTCCTAGTCTTTCTGTTTTGAGGACAAGCCCACAGAGGCATTCAGGCCTCTCTGATGGGTGGTAATTGATAGTTTGGGGTGGTTTTGGTCAGGTGCACCCTCTATACATTTTGAAGCTCAGCTGAACATTTGCTAGACCGATATACTCTCAGCCAGATTCTTATATATGTATTCATAGGATCAGTTCCTGCCTTAAGTAGGGCATTCCTGGTGTCTGGGGACTGATGGAGGCAGGCTGGCGCAGGGGTGGGTAGCAGGACAAACTGTTACCAGGGTTGAGTATTGGGGGGAACAGTGGTAGAGGTATATTACAAATACTGTTCTCACTATCCCCCCAGGCTCCCTACCTGATCTATGTGGAAGTCCTCGAATGTGAAAACTTCGACACCACTAGTGTCCCTGCCCGGATCCCCGAGAACCGAATTCGGAGCACCCGGTCTGTAGAGAACCTGCCCGAATGCAGCATCACCCACGAGCAGCGGGCAGGCAGCTTCAGCACTGTGCCCAACTATGACAACGATGACGAGGCCTGGTCAGTGGATGACATAGGCGAGCTGCAGGTGGAGGTGAGGGAGCTCCAAGGAAGTAGTACTGGGCATAGGACCTGTTCGCCAGGCGCTTTCATTGTATTTGAGACAACACAACACTCCCTGAGGCAGGCTGGAGCAAATGCCCAAATGAGTGGGGTAGTTATTGACAGGGGTGAGAGGGGAAGCACTGAACAGGTCTAGTCTGGAATAGATTCAGGTGGAGCTTGTTTTCCTGCAAGGAGAATTTAGGCTTAACGTAAGGAAGAACTTCTAAGCCCAGGGGAGAGTGGAAAATTTAATCAAAATGTATGTTGAACACCTGCTATATAAAGCAAAGAAGAATAAGTCATATGTTTGTTCATTCAAGGAATATTTATGGAGGGCCTTCTTTTTGCCCACTCTGAGTATTGTGTGCTAGTAAACAAGGCTTGGCCCCTGCCTGCAAGGAGTTTGTGACCTAATAGGAGAGAGAACAAGGCCAGTCAGCAGGGAGATGTAATGTGGTGTGATCCAGGTTGTGCTGGAGAGAATTCGGTGTCAGGGGAGCATTTGCAGGTGGGCGTGGCGCTTATTCCAGACTTGGGGTTGGACACACCCCAGACAATTTCCCGGAGGAAGTAATATCTCAGCTGAGACCTGGAGGTAGGTAGGAATTAGCTGGACAGAGTATTCCAGGCAGAGGGGACAGCTCATGCAGAGACCAGAAGACACAAGGGAGCTTGGTCCATTTTAAGAATAGAAAGAAATTTTGTGTGGCTCTGAGGTGTGGTCATGAGATGAAGAGTGGTAAAGAATGAGGCTGGAGAGGCCAAAATGGGCCGGATATAAGAAGGATCCTGTAAGTGCAGAAAGAAACTGGGATTTCATTCTGGGGTTGTAGGGAACCAGAACAGGATTCTGTTAGAGCTATGACCCAATCAGATTCCACTTTGTGAAAAGGCAGACTCTGTACTTGAGCTGGCAATCCAACTGGGGAGACCAGATGCGGACATTTAAGAGGAAAAAATATATATATATATAAGGTACACAACAAAGCAATGTGCAGTAATGGCGAATGGGGTTAAGGAGAAATGCACTGGTAAAAGGAAGGAGAAAAGACGGGACTTGATATGGGCCTTAGAGTCTGTTATTTTATAGTTAGAGAGAGATGAGGAGATAAGATTGAATGGCTTAGGGCTTCCCTGATAGCTCTGTGCTAAAGAAAATCACCTGCCAGTGCAGGAGACACAGGTTCAATCCCTGGCCAGGGAAGGTCCCACACGATACGAAGCAACTAAGCTCGTGTTCCACGACCATTGAACCTGTTCTCTAGAGCCCAGGAGCCACAGTAAGAAGCCCAAGCACCGCAGCTGGAGAGCAGCCCCTGCTCGCAGCAACAAGAGGAAGCCTGCACAGCAACAGAGACCCAGCACAACCCAAAGAAATAAAAGATCGGATGGCTTAGTTTAAAGAAATGCTGAGAGGAACCCAGCCTGGAGAGGGTCTGTTCTGGACCCTAAGATTGCATTCCTGGCCTTGGGGAACTCTCAGCATAAGGCTGAAAGTTCAGCTTTCTGTGATGGTCCTGGCAGTGGTTTGCAAACTTGAATGCATTGGAAGTCTTCTGGAGGCTTTGTTAGGAATTCATTTTTCCAGATCCCATTCCCAGTCATTTAAATTCAGATCAATGGTGGCCTGGGATCTGTGTTTTAGCAGCATTCCAGGTCATTCTGATGCAGCTATAGTTGACACATTGAAAAACACTGCTAGAGGGTCTGGGGGTGGGGTGGGGAACCTAAATAGTGTGGGGTCCAGAAGATGCATGACCTGAGGAGGCTTCTTGGAGCAGAGTTTGAAAGGGAGGACTGGTCATGCTGTGGAGAGTGCAGCATGAAGGGTGATCTGAAGAGAAGGTGGAAGAGGCGCCCCTGTGCTTAGCACTTCTGAACCGGCAGTGCCCTGCTCTCCCCAGCTCCCTGAAGTGCACACCAACAGCTGTGACAACATCTCCCAGTTCTCCGTGGACAGCATCACCAGCCAGGAAAGCAAGGAGCCTGTGTTCATTTGGCGCCTTTCGGAGCAGCTGGCTCACACCCCCACAGCCTTCAAACGAGACCCAGAAGACCCTTCCGCAGTTGCTCTTAAAGAGCCCTGGCAGGAGAAAGTGCGGTGAGTTGGGTGGGGATTCACCCTCCATATTCTGTCAGTCTCCTCTGAAAAATCCATCAGGCCTCAGGCAGTCTTGAGTCCTTACCTTGAGGGGGGTTTGATATGAATTTTTTATAGAAATTGTGTGTCTGTCCTCAACCTGGCATCACCCCCTGCTCTTTTTTTTTTTTTTTTTGGCTGTGCTGGGTATTCATTGCTGCACACGGGCTTTCTCTAGTTGCAGAGAGCAGGGGCCACTCTAGTTGTGGTGCGTGGGCTTCTCATTGCAGTGCCTTCTCTTGTGGAACACAGGCTTTAGGGTGTGTGGGCTTCAGTAGTTGCTGCACATGGGCTCAGCAGTTGTGGCATGGGGCTTAGTTGCAAGATCCCACATGGGATCTCCCTGGACCAGGAACCAAGCTGATGTCCAATGCATTGCAAGGCAGATTCTTAACCACTGGGCCACCAGGGAAGCCTGGCATCACCCTTGACACTTTTGCTTCTCTTCACAGGCGCATTAGAGAGGGATCCCCCTATGGCCATCTCCCCAATTGGCGGCTCCTGTCAGTCATTGTCAAGTGTGGGGATGACCTTCGGCAGGAGCTGTTGGCCTTCCAGGTGCTAAAGCAACTGCAGGTAAGAAAAGGGAGGGAGAAAGAAGGGAAACTCATCTTACCTGTAGCCCACCTGAGGTGATCACACAGGTCCTTCTGCAGGGAACTCTGCTGGGGACCAACTCCCTGCCTAGGCCAAAGTTGGATTTTCATTGAACTAAGCTGGTGCTTCTCCCCAGAAGTAAAGTCTCAGGAGCAGCTCCACAGCGATCTCTTGTGGCCCTTTTGTGACTGGCACCTGTTCTGATCACAGATCAAAAAACTCCCAACTGATTTGTAGCAAGTGGTTTGCGGTGGGCTGAGATGTCAATCCCTGACCCCCCAGGGTGGTTGCCTACAAGCAAATTCACCTGTTTAGTCAGTTCTTGATATAAGTATTTTCATTTTCTGGAGATTTCTCTGAACCTAAATCTCTTGGTCTTTTTCCCAGTTTTTTGAACTTGGATTAATAGCTCCCACTTGCCCTGCCTGGGATGTGACAGTTAGGTCTCCTCTCCTCTCCCTCTTTTGAACTTCTCTCTATAAGATGCCTTTTCCTACATGCCACCCTGTGTCTTGTCAGACCCTGGATTTCCTTTCAAAACTTCCTGGTCCTCAGTGGGTTTACAGGGTTTTACTTACTTGATGGCCTAGAATTCAAGGCCACCAAGGATGGGAACTGTCTGAGGTTGGGAACAGAAGGGATTTTAGCCTCCTCCTCTCATTTAGAGTCTTAATGCCACTGTGTGTTTCCTCACAGTCCATTTGGGAACAGGAGCGAGTACCCCTGTGGATCAAGCCATATAAGATTCTTGTGATTTCGGCCGACAGTGGCATGATTGAACCAGTGGTCAACGCTGTATCCATACACCAGGTGAAGAAGCAGTCTCAGCTCTCCCTTCTCGATTACTTCCTACAGGAGCATGGCAGTTACACCACTGAGGCATTCCTCAGTGCCCAGCGCAATTTTGTGCAGAGTTGTGCTGGCTACTGCTTGGTCTGTTACCTGCTACAGGTCAAGGACAGGTAGGTGAATTCCTGTCCCTCATCCTTAGCTTTTCTCCAGGGTTTCCTCTGTTTCTTCATTTATTCATCACCACCTTCCACTGCCAAGATGTAAAGATGAAAGAAACAACATGTTATAGGCGGAGACAGATGTATTCCTGTTCTGTTAAGGCAAGGAGGCAGACTGACAAGTACTAAGGCAAGGGGCAAAGAAGTGAAGCATTTATGGGAGGAGCAAGGGTCTGAGCATGCAGTCTTGAAAGACAAAGGAGAATGAGGACAGAGAAAGCTGTGGATGGAAAGGAAGGATGTTCCAGGCAGAGGAAACAATTCGAGGTCATTTAAGCATGGGCCACACTGCATGGCACGTAGTAGCGGTAATGTCAGGTAAGTTGAGGCTGGATTAGTAGGGCCTTCATGAGGCTCAGGAGGTTTATTCTGCAGGCAGAGGAAATACCGTGAGCCGGTCTGTGTTGAGTGAGTGTGCCTTGTGGCACTGTGGGCAAGAGTGGATCAATGGACCTTCAGCTGTCAAACAAGAGGTGATGAGGCCTGGTGTGAGGGCATTGGTAGAGACTAAGAGCAGAAAGGAGCAGATGAATGTGAAAGACATGGTGAACACAAAGTTGAAACTCCCAGCTCTGAATTCTCCTGGTTCCAGCATATGATTTCCAAAACTCAAGTACCTGTTGTTTTGCCTAGAGCTGCCATTTCTGCCAGTATCATGTGACCTTTAGGAAGCTCATCTTTGCACATAGGTGAACAACATACCATACAAAGGTTATTACACCCTCGAGGCCCTGTTTTTTAAGACCGTCTCCAGACAGTGACTCAGGGTCAGTGCTCGGAATGCACCTGTGAGTTGTGCCTCTCAGCGGGCTTAGGGCAGCTGCCTGGGAAAGCACTAGTTCAGTGGCCTGTGCTTCCAGGGTCCCCAGTGGTATGGCAGCACATTAAGGTTCACCGACAGAGCCGCTTATCAGAAATCCAGCATCTGTTAAGTGCCTGCGACGCCTGACTATTTTTTTAAATTGAAGTATAGTTGATTTGCAATATCGTGTTAGTTTCAAGTATATGGCAAAGTGATTCAGTTATGTATATATATGTATATGTGTGTGTAGGTATACACAGGAGCCTGGCAGGCTACAATCCTTGGAGTTGCAAAGAGTCAGACATGACTTAGTGACTAAACAACTATGTGTGTGTGTGGGTGTGTTGATTAGTCGTGTCCAACTCTTTGCAACCCCATGGACTGTAGCTCACCAGGCTCCTCTCTGTGGAATTCTCCAGGCAAGACTACTAGAGTGAGTCGCCATTCCCTTCTCTAGGGGATCTTCCCAACCCAGGGATTGAACCCAGGTCTCCCACATTGCAGGCAGATTCTTTACCATCCGAGTCACAGGGATATATGTACACAGACACACATATATATTCTTTATCAGACTCTTTTCCATTATAAGTTAATACAAGATATTGAATATACTTCCCTGTGCTATACAATAAATTTTTATTTATATAAGTAGTGTGTATCTGTTAATCCCTCTTCCCCTTTGGTAACTGTAAGTTTATTTTCTGTGTCTGTGAGTCTGTTTCTGTTTTGTAAATAAGTTCACTTATTACTCCACCTAGACGTGATATCGTATAATATTTATCTTTTTGTCTGACTGACTTCACTTAATGTGATGATTTCTAGGTCCATGCATGTTGCTGCTAATGGCATTATTTCATTCCTTTTTTATGGCTGAGTAAAGCTTGGTTGCAAGCTTTAGACTGTCCCTCAAGAGTCAGGATTTGGAATCCAGGGCCCAGAGAGCCTAGAGCCTGAGCCCCTGCGTTGAGTAAGTGGGGGCAGGGAAGCAGGTGATGCTCAGGCCTCTGGGCTATTCTTTAGGAAACTAATATATTTGAAAGATGAGAGTCTATCCTTTAAAAGTGGAGGCAGAGACGGGCAGCTGGTAAACCTTTCATAATAACTCAAAANTGGCAACCCACTCCAGTGTTCTTGCCTGGAGAATCCCAGGGATGGGGGAGCCTGGTGGGCTGCCGTCTATGGGGTCGCACAGAGTCGGACACGACTGACGTGACTTAGCAGCTTCTTCATGCAGCTAGCCTGTAGGAATTGCCTCCTGGGAATTTTTTTACATAAGTGGTTTTACCAAACAGTTAAAGCTGACTCTTTGAAGCCCACACACTATTTTACATTTAAACTCCACTCAGCCTGGGATTGCTGTTCCCTTCCAGTGGGGTTTCTGATTTGCAGTGGGCCAATGGGAATTACAAACAAAACACAGGTAATTAGGTTGTAACTGGCTGCTTCCCACTAAGCTAAGTGCTTGGCCTCTGTGACAGCTGGACAGAGTGCAGAGGCTGTCTTTTCTAGCTTCCCAGTTCTCTACTAGATTGGGATTGGGTGCTTAGAAGCACGATTATTGGGAAATGGGGATAATCTTAAAGCTATTTTATTGTTAATGATAGCAAGTCAGACCCCATTGCCTTTGTTAGCAGTCTACTTTTCTAATTTCCTTTCTTCCTACTGCCAGCTTTGGGTTCTAGGGGTTGGACCCAGAGTTCTAGGCAAAGTGGCAGGGCCCTTGCCTGGTGTCATGTGGCCAGTGTGTTGCAGCTTAAGCTCCCACCTCAATCGGACTTACTACTGTCTCTTCCTCTCATCTGCCCCCTCCTCAGACACAATGGGAACATCCTACTGGACGCAGAAGGCCACATCATCCACATCGACTTTGGCTTCATCCTATCCAGCTCACCCCGAAACCTGGGCTTTGAGACATCAGCCTTTAAGCTGACCACAGAGTTTGTGGACGTGAGTCAGGAAGGAGAGGTGCCTCACTGTTCTGTCATGGGAGGGGGAGCTGGTAGTCTCCCCGCAAGTGGGAACAAACAGATCAGAAATGGGAATAAGTCAGGGTGAGGTTGGATGTCCTGGGAGGCTTCCTGCCTGATAAGAGATGGGCAAGTAACACAGTTTGGCACGTTTACCTAAGGGAGGAAGTTGTGAGCTCCCTTGCACACACAACTCTCTCCTCAAAGGTGATGGGCGGCCTGGATGGCGACATGTTCAACTATTACAAGATGTTGATGCTGCAGGGGCTGATCGCTGCTCGGAAACACATGGATAAGGTGGTGCAGATCGTAGAGATCATGCAGCAAGGTGGGCTGGGGAGAAGCCTATGTTTGGGGATAGGGTGGGACCTGTAGTGCCTCAGAATTCCTGCTATGTTGGGGCCCTGGGGCGTGGAGCCTCCAGAGTTGAGTCCACCTCAAGACTGGGGGTGGGGTTCCCAACTCTGATCCAGTGCCCTGCTCCTCCTTCCACATACTCCTCCCGACTCCTGACCGCTAGTCCTGGAGGGTGGGAGGGCCGAGGCAACAGAAACTACCTCCTGTGTGCACTAAGGGGAAAAAAAAAAGGAGTCCCATCTCCTGCCTCCTGGTCTCTTCCTGTCTCCCCATCCTTTGTCCAGCTCTGAGTTTGTCTCCTTCCATCGCTTGGCTCTTCACCAACTCAGGTGTTTTCAAAAGTCACCACCTTGCTACCCGTTGGCCTCTGACCTCCAATGGCCCTATCCTCAGACCCCTTCCCTTGGCCATACTCACCCCTTCTGCTCAGAGCCGAGCCGTGTTCTTCTCTCCTCTTTATCTGCTCTCATTGCTGTTTCCTCACTGCCTTGCCATCTAGTCTTTTGTCCAGGATCCCTCCTCTCCCATCTTCTCTGGGCCCTCATCCCCATTTCCTCCTCAGGGCTTTGGTGTCCACCCAGTCTAAGCTGCCAGTCTCCTCCTCCCCATCCCTGCTCCCACCCCACAGGTTGTCGCCGTTGCTCAGGAGCATCCCCGTCTGGCCCCGTGATGACGGTGGCCCAGGTCATCTGTGAGTGTCAGACGTAGCATAGGCAGAGGCCTGCAACCAGATAAGTGCCCAGCTCAGGGCCCACTCCCCAGACTCTTCCCAGCCTTCCCTCTGGGTCCTAAGACTGCTCCCTCCACCCTTCCCTGGAGGAGATGCGGTGCTGACCCCCTGCCCTCCTCTGCCCCTGTGCCCTTACCTAGAGGCACTTAGGTGTGTGGGATGAAAAGGGGCTCAAGACAGGGCCTCCCGCCAATTCTCCCTTCTCTGCCCAAGCAGACCTGCGTCCATGCTGTCAGTGATCTGAGGTGGGAGGGCAGGGGCACCAGGCAGCCCGGCTCTCTACTGTTACACTGCCCCTCCCTCCTGTCTGTTTGTGACCCTGTTCCTCGCTGCTGCCCCCAGGTTCTCAGCTTCCTTGCTTCCATGGCTCCAGCACCATCCGCAACCTCAAGGAGAGGTTCCACATGAGCATGACTGAGGAGCAGCTCCAGCTGCTGGTGGAGCAGATGGTGGACGGCAGTATGCGGTCTATCACCACCAAACTCTATGACGGCTTCCAGTACCTCACCAACGGCATCATGTGATACTCTCCTCAGGCCCCAGCGCAATGGGGGGGGGTTCAGGGGACCCTCCCTGGGAAGGCCCTTGGAGAAACCCTAAGCCAGGAAGCCCCACCCACCCAGCCATCCACCAAGGGAAATGGAAGGCAAGAAATACAAAGGATCATGTGGTAACCGTAGAACTTGCCAGGGCAGGTGGGGAGAGCCAGCTGTGGGGTCCAGACTGACTGGGGCTTCCTTGCCACCACCCCAGCTGTGTCAGTATTACCACCAGATGGACTCCAGGACTCACTGCCCTCCAGAGAACAGAAGTGATAAATGTGGGGGGCGCTGGGGCCTCGCTTCTCCTCACCAGGGTCCGAGAGGTTCTTTCCACAGGCCATCCTCTTCATGTATTCTGGGTCCCAGGAAGGAGAAGAGAGTAGGTTCTTGGTACTTAGGACTTAATCCTGTGGTTGGCCTTTGGCCATGCTGCTGCCTGACTGTCCCCTCCCAGGGACTGAGCCCTAGCCCAAGTTCCCCTGGGTAGGTGGGCTTTGGCATAGGGTCCTGCACTTGCTGAGGTCCCCCATCCCAGAAGTGAGGAAGGGAGTGATCACAGCCCCTCCAGTCTGAGGGTACTGGCCTAGCCTCGGGAATTCCTTGCCCTGATCCCTTCCCCACACCCAGGGAGACAGCTCTCAATTTTTTAATTTTTGTTTGAAATAAAGTCCTTAGTTAGCCATCTGTGTCATTTCTGAGATGTATTTTTTTCAGGGGTGGGGAGTGAACATGCCTGTGCAGGTTACAAAAGGAACCACACATAACAGCGGGAGGAAGACTGCATTTTCCCTGCCTGTCTTGGTCAATAACTACCTCATCCCTCAAGAAGGGCCTTCCCAGCTTTGTCACTCACCTCCCTCCCAGACCCGTCCACATTGTCACATAAAAAGAGGAGCTTGAATGGGGATTAAACCACGAGCAGTTTTAATGGTCTGGTTTTCTCCCTCCCATTTCCCCCACTGTTAGTATTATTACTACAAGAATAAAGGATTCCTGAGAGCCTGTCCCCTCCTCTCCCTGGGACCCCCTTGACAGGACTCACCCCACCAACCCCCCTCCCCCCCTGGATTTCTGGGGAAAAAAAAAGTGAAAGGCACTGCAGGGGTGGGGGGCTGGAGTGCCAGTGAGTCTGAAGGGCATGCTGGGACACAGATGGGGCCACCATCCGTGCCCACAGAGGTGAGGAGTGTCGCTGACCACCCCAGTATCAGGCCTTCCCATCCTCCCCGCCACCACCCCCCGTCCCACATGGGGGGGCTGCAGCAAGAAAATAATTAGTGTTGGGCTCACAAAGAAGGAATGGAGGACCCACTCTACTAAGACCCAAGGAGGGACCGCAAGTAACTACCATCCTCAAAAGCTGGTTGTCCTTGGGGGTTAGCGGAAGAGGAGGTGAACAAAATGTGAATTATAATGGAGCTCCCCAGCCCAGGGACCAGGCAGCAGCAGTGACCCACGGCTCCCAAGAGAAGAGGGAGGGGCTCAGTCCAGGCCTGGGCCCTAGTTGTCCCCGCTGCCCCCTTGCCGAGCCCTGATGAACGCCATGCCGTGTGTGCGGAAATGGGTCTTGAGGTTGAGAGGGCTATCGCAGCTCTTGCCACAGACCTTACAGGTCAGCGGGCCTCCTGAAGCAGGCAAGGGTGACTCTCCACCATCTGGCTCGGACCTGGAAGGAGGAGGGGCCTCTTCCTCCCCATCCCCCAGGCCTAGGGCACTGGCACTCCCCACACCCCGTTTCTTCTTGTGGCTGATGAAACGGTGACGGCTCAGGGAGCCAGGCGAGGCAAAGCACAAGCCACAGTCGAGGCACTGCTGGGCACCACCGTCCACCCTCAAGCCCACCACGAGGCTCTGTTCTGCCGAGCCGCCGCTCCGGTAGCGCAGGGGGCCATGGCCACCCGACCCGGGTACGCCCCTGGGGGACTTGGCTGGAGGTGTCGTGCTGTCAGGCTCCTCACTGCAGGAGTCTGAGGACTGGCGGCGCTTCCGTCCCGGCCCCTGGAGAAGATAGTAAAAGAACTGGGTGTCCAAGTCCCACGGCTCCGGCATCCCCACCCCGCGCCAAGGCCGCGTCCACGTCCCGCAGGCTCCCGCTCCCACCGTCCTCGCTCGGCTGCTCGGGCCTCCGCCTACCTGGGCTCTGGCACCAGGGCCCCGAGCCAGGGCGCTCCCCCGGCCAGGGGACTGGGCCCCGAGCGGCAAGCCGTGCCGGACCTGGACGTGTTTCTCCAGGATCAGGCGGCTGCTGAAGGTGCGCTTTCCCTCTGTGCAATACCTAAAGGGGAGAGCGGGCGGGGTGGGCGCCGGGGCACAGCCCAAAGACCAAGGCTGGTGGCTTGAGCAGAGGGAGGCCTCAACCGTCAGTCCACTCAGACCTAAGAGGCAGGTGGGAAGGTGTTTTGGGGAACCAGGGTTGGGGGCACCCTGCTGGAGAGAGAAGAGGACAGGGGCACAGGGTGAAGGTTACCTGCAAGGGTAAACTCGCTTGATACCCTCGTGGTTGACCCTGACGTGGCGCCTCAGGCTGGGGGCCGAGCAGAAGGAGCGCTCACACAGGCGGCAGGGGAACTTTTTCACTGACTAGGAGAGCAGGCAGTGGGGGATCTCAGAGCCAGGCTCCCACCTGGGGCCCCGTCCCCATGGCCACACAGGCCAGCCCAGCGCAGCCCCTCTGGCTCCCGGGGCGCCCCCTCACCTTGCCGTGCTCCTTCTTCATGTGACCCACATACTCGTCACGCTCAGGAAACCAGGAGTGACAGAGGCCGCAGGTCCAGCCTCCCGGGCCGCCCCCCCCACCCTTGATGCCTTTGCTCCCCAGTTCTCGCCGGGGCCGTTTGCTTGGGCGAGGGGGCTCGGGGGAGCTGGGCGGCTCCTCCTCTTCTGAGGTGGAAGAAGATTCCTCAGTAGGGGCAGCGGTTCCTGCCCGAGACACAGCCAGCTCCTCGGGCTCTGTCTTGGGGGTCAGAAGGGCACCCCCAGCTCCTTTCCCAGCGGTCTCCTCCCCCGGGCGCCCAGACTGATGGGTGTTCTGTGAGAGGGAGACAAGGCGTGTGGCTGTTGGCGGGGGAGGACCTGGCTTTGCCCAAGTCCTGGCTTCTCAACCCTGCTCCCACTTCCAAAGGGGTGTGTGATCTTAACCCCGAATTGATACAGCGGAGCACCCCACCTCCGTCCCTTGACTCCTGTACCTTGAGATGTTCCAGCATGGTCCTTTTTTGGGCAAAAAGCAGAGGACAAGATGGGCACTTGAAGACGCTGACACGCTGGGGCAGCAAGTGCTGGTCGAAGTGTGAGGAGAGGAGGGGTTTGTGAGTGAAGACTGTGTCACACATGGCGCACTTGTAGATCATCCTGTGTGGAAGGAGGGGACAGTGCCAACATCCTGCCCCATCAAGGCCCAATCCCCACTCCTCCCACCCCACCCCTATGTGCCCTCCCCAGGTCTCACTTGGCCTGCTGCGTGTGGAAGCTGGGATGCTGGGTGTAGAGATGGGCGTGGGCGCTGGGTGCAGACTTAAAGGCCATGGGGCAGATGGGGCACTTGTGGAAAACCTCGCAGTGTGACGTCTGGATGTGGGACTTGATGGAGTTCACACCCCCAAACACCACTGCACAGCTGGGGCACCTTGGGGAGAAAGTCGGAGGCACAGTGGTGAGTGGGGGGCGTCCCTACAGCCACCCCCAACCCCACAGTCATTCTCGGGGACCGGGTGGCCTGAGAACTTAATCAGCAGTGGAACATGAGCAAGTGGAGGAAGGAGCCACAGAATCCAGTCTGGGAGGGGAGGCCTGCGGAGGTAGAGCTGGTGTTCCAGAGGTGGACCTGCTCACAGAGAGGAGCGACGGAAAGGCAGAGAGCTCAGGCTGCACTCGTCAACACAGCATGGTTGAGTGATTCAGCAGGAGAGACAGGCCCGCCTTCTAAAAGGCTGGTCCCAGGAGCCACGAGATCATCAAGTACAGGAGGAAAAGTGTCGACATATGGGGAGGAGGTGTGGGAGGCACCTGTATCCTACGCGGCGAGAGAAATGTAGGCAGGCCTCCCGGAGATGGGTCTGAAAATTGGCTTGCAGAAAGTTGCCCCCACACTCAGGACAGACGTGGGGAGGTCGGTTCTTATGCATGCGCTGGTGGGCGCTGAAGCTGCAGCGGTTGGGGAGCATCATGGGGCAGGTCGGGCACACCTGTCGAGGGGGTCAAAACAAGGTGAGTCTGTGAGGAGGGGCCTGTCCCCCATTCCTTCTAACCAAGCCCCCACACCTTCCTAGACCCTGTCCCCATGGCACCTGGCTGTCTCCTTCCCAGGGAGGGGCTGTGAAAGGTAACTCACATTGCTGGTGGCCCCAGGGGCGGGGGGCCCGAGCTGCTGGAAGTGGGCAGCCATGCCGGCCTTGTCGCGGCACTGCTCCTTGCACTCCAGGCAGCGGAAGCACGTGTAAGTAGAGGTGGCAGGCGTGGTGGGTGGCTCCGTTGAGAGCGGCAGCACGGGGGCCTCGGCAGCAACTGCAGTAACGGCGGCTGTGGTGACGGCCCCTTCACCCTTGCCCAAGGCGGGCAAGGCTGGAGGTCCGAGGGCAGGTGGGACAGCCAGCAGGGGCGTGATGTCCGGCTGCCCCACCATCTGGTCCAGGGCCACTGGCCTCATGACCAGATGTGAGCACTGCATGACGAGCCCCTTGTCCTTGTGCTCGCGGGCATGCAGAAGCAGGCTGCACTTGTTGAAGAAGACCAGGCGGCGGGCGCAGTGATTGCAGGTGACCTCAATGCGCATGCTCCGGCGGTCATAGTGTCTCGCCAGGCTCTTCTCCAATGAGAAGGCATCCCCACACTCGAGGCAGCGGTAGCCCGTAGGTGGCAGGGCCAGCCCGGCCTCAGCCGGTGGACTCAGGTTCGGCCGGTAGGCAGGCAGCAGGTTCTTGCTGTTGAGGATCTTGTTGAAGGCCTCCACCAGGCTGGACTGGGTCCGTGAGATCACCGTGCCACCCGCTGCCCCCGGCCCAGTGGCCGGCTTAGAAGGCTGCACCATTACCACCGAGGCGCCATTCACCTTCTGGCCCCCCGTCCCCAGCCCTGTCCTCCCCTCAGCCTTGGGCAGGGCTTGGGGCACCAGACCCAGCACATTCTTAGGCATCGTCTTAGGGCTGGTGGCAGTGCCCCCGGGCAGAACCACCGCTTTGCGGGCCACACTGGCCGCCATCAGCATGGCAGTACTTGCATTCTGAATGGTGGCCACGGGCAGCACCGTGCCCTTGAGCCTTGTGCCGTCACCCAGTTGGACACTCACCACCTTCGGACCCTCGGGGGCTGGGGTTGCCGGAGACAACTTCAGGAGGTTAGCCTCCGCCAGGAAACCCCCCTCAGCCAAGGGGGCAGGGGGATCAGGGTCTGAGGGGACCCGGGTTACAGTCCTTGTGATATTTCCGCAGGATGTTTTAATGGTCTTGATCCGCACCTTGAGGGGCCGAGAGGAGCTGGAGGCAGGGGAGTCATTGCTGTCCTCGTCCGCAGCCTCAGCTCCACTGGAGGGACTCTGGGGACTTCCCGGGGAAGACTTGTCTCCTGGTCCCTCATCCTCCTCCTCCTTCAGGGGCTGACAGCTGGGCCCTTTAGGGGAGGCAAGCGGGCTCTGGTGCCCCGGAGACTTCTTAAAGAAGGACACCCCTGCCGCCTGGGAGGGGGAGGCA